GTTAATATCTAAGACCATAGATTTTAAAGTAACCAACTTTTATTGCTTAAAAAATTAAATTTAATAAAAAGTATGTATAATATACTGAAGCAAATTTCAAAATGTCAAAAAGTGCAACAAGATATACTTGGTAATTTTTAAAACTATTTTTTCTTTTCAAACGCAGATATAAGCAAATTAGAGTTTTCCTTCTTTAAAATTATACTCAAGTAAAAAACTTCATAAAGACATATGTAAACAATGTTTAACAGAGATAGATTAGACAAGTAAAGTGTACAGAAAATTACAAGAAACATCAGCTGTAATCAAAATCACATGAGCAAAACATTCCCAAAGTTTACCAATAGTTTTAGGAACAGCTTCAATCTCACCGGAAAAGATGTTCATTTTATTGGTGTGAAGTGAAATTTGAGGGCGATTACGTACTGTGAATGGTAGTTCAGATGATAAATTCCTTTCTGCCGCATCCGTAAATAGTTCAACCAGTGACTTTGCCAGCGAACAAATTCCACTCGCATTTTCTAAATTGCAGAGAACTACTACACAGACGGGGTCAACGGGTAGACGATTAGAAGATTTATTGACCTAGATTTTAACAATAAAATAAAAAGGACGGAAGCAAGAAAGGATTATAGTCCATATTATGAAATAAATCTATTAAATGAAGGAAAACGGAAGACAGAGAATGAGACAATCTTATAAACGTGTTTTCTTATCGGAGGACAGTTGTTTAGGACCAAGATAGATTTGGACTATATATCTGCGAATTCAGATACAAAAGTAATGGTTCTGAAGACTAAATACTCCTAACAAGGAAAGTATAGAAATAAGAATAACTTTCATAGTAGGACATTCTTACTCAAACTCAAATATGTATGCAGGGAAAGTCGCTGCAAATGTCACTGAATTTATCCATATAGTCGTTGATGTATCAGTATAAAAACCGTATTCACCCTGGGTAGCATGTAATGAAATACTGATAGTCGAATTCGCCCTAAATAGTTAACACGAAGATAACTAATGTAAATTTATATAATAGATTAACAATAATAATAATAAGTGAAAGATTTAAAGAAAGCCATTTTTAAACTAAATCAGTTGAAACTAAGTATTGTTTATTATTTTGCTTGTTATTTATTGGGCGCTTTCGATTATGATAAATTAAAAAGGAAAATAAAAGTAAAATAGATACCTGATAGCGCTCATCCTTAAGTAGAATGGCTAGATCTAGAGGGCTGACAGAAAAGGATATTTTATCAGAAAGGAAGTCAGAAGAGTGTAGATTCAAAGAGGGCATCCGACTCATAAGTGTGCCAGTGAAAGATTCCTGATTGGCTGCCACATAAGGGGGAGCAGGCAGGCTAATAAGCATTATCGAGGTGCCTCCAACTGCACCACCAGTATGTCCAACGTAAAGGCGGTCCAAAGGGGGCCAGGCACAGGTAGAATCAGCAGGTGATTTTCCAGACCGCCTAAAGTATTGTTTAAAAATAGGAAGGTAAAAGAAGTTAACACCAAGATAAGCTGGAAAATGAGGTTGGAAAAATAAGTAAAATTCACGATAGAGGTTGTTTGACCTTGTTTTTGAAACATGGTCATATTGCTAGGAATACTTAGAACGCACCTAGTCGAGTCCATTGTCTCCATGATCATTTCCAAAGTTGAACCGTGGACGTAGTACATTCCCAAACGTTTCGCCGGCATCGTCACTGAGTATCACCATCCTTAGCACCACACAACAAATCGTCAAGTGAAGCTGATCCTTTGACCAAACGTGTGGTAAACAGTTGTGGTATCTCCCCTTCTGCCCTCAGATTTTCGCGTTTCCGGTAGCATCCTATCATGCCTTGACTATTACAATTTTTACCGTGTTTATTTAGATAGTGTG